AGAGCTGGAGGACCAGAGGTGCAGGGAATGGGAGGAACATCAGAGGCAAGAGCTAGATGAACGGAAGCACTGGGAACAGGAGGAGCAGAGACATAAGGAATTGGAGGAGCAGAGGCATCAGGAATGGGAAGAGAAGTGCAAAGAGCTGGAGGAGAAACAGAGACAAGAGCTGAAGGAGCAGAAGAGGATAGCACTGGAAGAATTAAGGCAACACAGGACTGACAAAGAGTGTCAAGAGGAAGAAGAAAGAAACTGGCTAGAGGAACCAAAAGTACTCAAGGAACAAAATAAGGAAGAAATACAGAGAGGAGACCTAGAAGAGAAAGAGCTTCAAGTCACTGAAATAAAACTGAAGGAGAAAGAACCTGAGAGCCTCAAACAAGAGAAGAAACAGGAGGAACAAAGGCATTTGAAGGAGAAAGGAGAAAAGACAGATAAGGAACAACCCCAGCAAGTAATAGACAAGAAAAAGAAACGGGAAGAGCAGAGGAAACACAAGCTCATAAAACAAATGCACATGGAAAGTTCAGAGGGTGTGCCACAAGATGAACTGAAGCAGCAGAAGGAACAAAATGGACAAGAATGGAATGAGCTGGAAGAGCAGATGACAGACAGAGAAGGACAAAATCTTCAGCAAACCCAAGAAACATCCTTGGAACAGCCACAAGACAAGGATCAGTTCTGTTCCAGAGGGGCTGATAGGCATCCAACAGAGGAGAAGCTCCAAGAAGGATCAAGAGCCCAAAATCTCAAACAGCCCGAAAAAGGGAGTAAAACAGCAGAAGAAATGCTAGCCCAGAAACTGAAGAGAGATGTTGAAGCTCAGGAGCAAAAGCGCATAGGGGAAGAACTTCGGTGGCAAGAGGTAGATGAAAGACAAACTGCATCCAGACCCTTCACATTTCAAGTGTCTTCTGGAGATAAACAGATCATATTTCAGAAAGTAAATCTGAGTCCTGTCACACCCATCAAAGGAACAGGACTCTCTTCTCCATCTGTCAAAGACTGCAGGGTGCACACCATCAGTAAGGGCTCTCACACCCTCCCATCATCTGCGTGTGTGCCCCACACAGCTATTTTGGTTACTGGAGCACAGCTGTGTGGCACAGCAGTTAACCTGAACCAGATTAAGGACACGGCTTGCAAATCATTACTTGGCTTAACAGAAGAGAGGAAAAATGTGGAAATTCCTTCACCAGAGAAGTCCCAGAAAAAAAAACAGGATCTCAAACCTAGCAGCAGTAAAATTAAACACGCTCAAGAGACATTGAACAACCAGGCCGTACTAGCTGAGTGGGCCTCTATTCGCTCCAGAATACTGAAGAATGCAGAAAACAACAAATATAATGAGAGAGACCGAGTAAGTGCCTGCAGGCACAGTGACGACTGGACACCCCGAGGACGGGGTGCTCCCCATGGTAATTTAAGGAAAACCCTTTCTGCAAATGCAAAGTTCTCAATAACACCAGCATGGCAGAAATTTTCAGAAGTTTCAAAAATCAATTCAGACCCTGAGAATGTAAGTGTGGCAAAAGGCAATGAAACAGTGGCTGTGGGGAGAAACACTGGCTCATCCGCTGATTTGAAGGAGGATGTGGCTACCACTTTTAAGGATAATCTAGTTGAAAAGGCTAAGGAGAAAGTGGAAGCCCATAGTGAAGTGACAGACAATACAGAAGGCTGTAAATTTGCAAAAGATCTTCCATCTTTCCTTGTTCCAAGTTTTCCTCATTCTCCAGGTAAAGAATTACCTAAGCCAGAACTTCCCAGTGCTCTGGAAAATCAGCAAAATAACAGCACAAAAAAAGCAGATAAACCGTCACCAAATGGAGAAGAAAATGTTTCTCCTTTTGGGATAAAGTTACGAAGGACAAACTACTCTTTACGTTTCCATTATGATCAACAAGTGGAGCAAAGGAAAAAGAAAAGATACAGTGCAGGAGACAGTTTTGACGGTGTGCCTGACCCACTCACCTCAACAGAAGGTGAGAAAGAATCCACTGTTTTTGCTCCACAAGAGAGTACTTCCCCCGAAGTGGGGAGAGCAAATGTCCCCGGTAATTTAAAAGACTCTTCAAGTACTGTGACTGAGTTTTCACAGCCAGTGGGCACACCAGTGATCCCACCAGCCACTGGCCAGAGTGCTTTACCTGCTCATGAGAAACCAGCATGCAAGTCAGTGGTCCCACAGAAACCTGCTATAGCTCCGAAGCCCACCAGCCAAACCCCACCATCATCTCCTCTCTCTAAAATGAACAGATCAAACCTATCTGAAATGCTGGGGCAAAGGGTGGCTAAAGCTGAATCAGATGGTGGCTGGAGAAAAGAAGACAGAGCAAATGCAGTGCAGCCCACACCATCTGATGAGTACAAAAATGAAGAGGAAGAAATCAAAGAAAAGAAGTCATTTTTCCCATCTCTAAGTATTCCATGGAGAGAAAAAAATGACAAAAAGCCTGAGCCATTGAAGAAAGGTATGTATATTTCAAAGCATATTTAGCTATTGTTTGCACTTCCAAAATGAGATGTTGAAGATCCAGAGGAAGATGTTTGATCTTAAGCTATATTTTTTACCTGGCATGTTATTTGTGGAGGACCATTACTTTGCTTAGGGTTGTCTGAATGAGCGGGAATTCCTATCCCCACAATTTAATTCAGAAATGCACAAACTCAGTGTGACTGGTGCAACCTGCTTAAGAAAGTTAATTTCAGGGAGGTAACAGAAGTGTGTGAGTGTGTTTTCCTCGTAGAGATGTTACCTGGTTAGTCAGGGGATGGACTCTGTGGTCCACATGTAATGGTGTCAGCAAAGCAGAGGATATAATTTTTAAAATTTACACTCTATTGTTTCTATTTTTTAGGGAACTGTTATCTAGTTTTAAAAATACTAAGAGTTAGGTCCTCTTATCCTGAGCAAATTCTCTATCTAACCCAGCATAGCTGAGCATGGGAGTCTGCGTTTCAGAGCTACTCTTCAGTAGTAAAAACAATTACAGTAGCCATAGTGACTCTTTAAAGAAAGGCTGAAAGTAGTAATCTGTACAAGAAAGAAAACCATCCTTTCAGCATAAGGACACCCAAAAGAGAAAGGCAGGAATTCAGCATTTCATTGGGAAATCCTAATTTTTTTTCATTCTTGAATTTTGCAAGCATCAGAACATGTTTAAAACCATCTCTCAGCGGAACTGCTGCCTTTTTTTTTTCTTTTCAATTTTTTACACTTTTTCTTTTGACTTCCATTTTTTTAAAATGTGGATTTATGGAAACTAGTTGGAGGCATAGCTCCTGGATGGGAGAGCAGGTTCTGGGCCAGCTGAGAGTTTCTGTGCTCACTGAGCTCTGCAGAAGCACCTTTGCAACCCAGTGCTGCTCCCTGACACTCACAGTGCTATACTGGGTGCTAGCTCCAAATCCACCCAGAGCAGAGAAAGTCAAATGCTCAAGTGTCAATTAAAAAAAGTTTTTATAACAGAGGCTGAATTTACAGTGGTATGTAATTTTAGTCCCCTTCTTTTGTGTGAAGTTCAGACACTCTTCTTCCCTAAATTACGTCTGAAAAACCAGGGAACTGCAGTATGTAGTGGCTGTATCCCTTTTATCAGTTATAAACAATCAAGGCAAAGATATCACTTTCACCAAATATTCCACACAGTGCAAATATTTGTAGTAAATAAAGCTGTAATTCTGGAGTGGGCTTTTCACAAAAAAAAAAAAAAAAAAAAAGATACGTTTTGCCAGCTGTATGAGTGTGTCAAATTAGGTCTTATTCCTGAGGCATAAAATCTTTTTCAGGATTCTCCATGCAGTCCACAAGGGTCTGTGACTGACCTGACATTCAACGGGCTTACCTCCAGTGTTTCCACAAGGTACAGAAGTTTTCTTGAGACAAGAGTTGTGCATTACTCAATCAATTCTTGTCATATTTTCTTTCAGAAAAGCCTGTCCTCCAGAGCAGGCACTCTTTAGATGGCTCTAAATTGATGGAAAAAGTGGAAACTTCACAACCGCTTTGGATTACATTGGCACTGCAAAAGCAAAAGGGATTTCGTGAGCAGCAAGCCACAAGGGAAGAAAGGAGACAAGCCAGAGAGGCAAAGCAAGCAGAGAAGCTGGCTAAAGAAAATGTAAGCAATCTTTAGGAACCTGCTTATTAACAATACTGATACCATGATTATAACTGTTAGCTAATTTTCTTATGTGGAGCATTTTTTTAATGCTTTGTTTGTAAGATTTAATAAAAGCTAAAATGACAGTGAGTAAAAAGTAGTCTGAAGGTCCGGAGTTTGCTTTTGCAAAACCAAGACCTCTAGGAAAAAATAGTTCACAACAATGTGACAATTTTACTGTAAACTTTGATGGTATCTGGTGGTAGTTAATGGCAATCATAAGCAAAACCACTGTGCAGGTGATGGAACAGAAAAATTGTGTGCAATGTGTTCTTTTAGAGCTTGAGCAAATAAGATGTTAATGCTTGGGGAATAACAGTTGGAATACACCTTTATAGGTGAATATTAGTAAGTCTGAATTTATTTTTATTGTTACATGTAGTATTTGGATAAAATACAGATAAATGAAAGAAATGGACAATCATGTGATACATCCAAATGCCTTAAGCAGGCACTGAATTCAAGTATCACTTCTTTCCTATTCTCCAAATAGTTATTTACTCTCCATGTTAGTAAGGAAAGCATTTCCACTTACAGTACCAAAGTGATGCTACACAAACGGTGATGCTGTATATAGATATCACAGATGGTAAACAGGGAGATTACATGGATAACTAAATATATTTTGATGTCTGTTATGAGACCTAGATTTCTGATGGATATATGCACAACCACTGATATAGACAACTGGTAGAAGAAAATCAGTGTGTGTGAAGTTGCCTGTAGATGCACAGTGTGTTTCAGTGCTGTATTTAATGGGCAGGGCTGGCTCAAACTGTTCAGTATTTTGACTGAAGTGACAACATGACAAATTTAACTTTGTGGTGGTTTGTTTTACAGTCTCTAATAACTGTTGGTTCTAGAAGTATCAGAGTGTTGTGATCCTTTGCCAAAAAGGAAGGTTAAAGAAAGGCCAGGTGATGAATGAAAGAACCAAGTGTGTCATCTCAAACTTGTAGCCATTACATGACAGACTGTTTCTCATTTAGCAGTTTTCCTTCTCTGTTCTAGGCTGCTGTAAGTAATCAGTCAGATAATAAAAGTAGTAGCAGCAAAACGAGCACACTGCAGAAATCTACAACTCAAGAAGGGGAGAAGAAAACTGAGACTGCTGTGTCAAGACTAGAAAGAAGGGAGCAGCTAAAAAAGTCAAACACCCTTCCAACTTCTGTGACAGGTACAGTGAGAGATTCAGATTCACTCTAGAAATACTGCACTTCAGAAATGGTATTGCACGTTTTGGAGAAAGTGAACACATTACTTTTTTCTCCTTATATAGTACCCCTAGAATTACAAATGAATTTGCTTTCAGCACAGAACAACACAACTTGTCCCTGTCTGATGTGCTGGCCAGTATGCTGGAAATACATAATTTTAACAGGTTTTCAGCAGGTTCCCCAGTTATTAAGACTGCCTTACTGCAGTTCCTTAGAATTGCCCCAGTTCAAGTCAACAAAATTAGGCTGTCTCCCCAAGCCATATCCAGCAGTATTTTTGGAACATGACTAATGCACATTAGAGGGATCAGATTTACTGTAAATTGAAATTGCAGTACTGTTTTGCCTTTAGGTTGGGGGTTAGCACAGAAGTGGAATGATATTTAACTTCTACAAAATGTATTTGTGTAGGAAATGAAGCATGTTGTGTTCTCACACCTCCCAGTTTGTAAAGGAGAAATATTCACCCCACAATATTGGAAATGAGTATTCCCATTTCATTGAAAAACGCAAAAATGAATCAGTTCAGTTGAAGCTAGCCTGTTACCAGTCAAATATTTGGTATGGAAGTTGGAACCAGAACCTACTGCTTTATCTGTCACTTCAATTAAGCTGAAAAAATTCCGTACTCAAAAGGCAGGCACACTGAAATAAATACTTCCCCACAGGGCATAATATTTGGGGTGGTATAAAGTAATTGTTGAAATAGAAACTTGCCTAATATTTCTCTAGCTAACAGTAGTCCTGGGCTAAAGGTTTTGGAGAAGAGTACAAATAGGTGTTGAAGAAACCTTTTTACAAGTTGCACAGTAAATATCATGGGCTTCTTTGAAAGTAAATACATGTATCAGTTGTATCTAGTCAGTACCACTCCAAGCCAGGAACTATGGAATGCAACTTTTGAAAGCAATGAGGTGATTCATTTATCTGATTTGTAACAGTAAAGGCTAAACCAGTGCTGCTCCTACACTACAGATTGTCCCAAGCTGAACAACCCCTATGCATGTCTATATTCAGTTGTTCAGCAGCTGGATGTTCACACTGCAGCTGCACACCAGAGCAGATATCCCTGAGAATTTGCAACATCTTGGGTTGGACTAGAGGGCCTTTAAAAGTCCCTTCCAACTCAAACCGTCTCACATAGATTGCCCAAAATTTTCATGCTTTACAGCATTTTACATGTGCCTTACAGCATTCCTGTCAACCTGTAACAGGGCTTTATTTCAACCCTACTCCAAAAGATTCAGCGGTGTGATGTTATGCTGTACATGGTCAATTCTAGCGGAAATCAAACTCCAGCACAACAGATGATGCCAAATTAGACCAAAGAAGGGTCAAACCCCAATTATCCAGGATCAGTCTGTCTGCACTAGAATGAGAGTTCAGGGGGAAATTGAGGAGGAATTACCAATTGTCAGTCACCTAAAGTGAAATAACTCTATTGGCCCTAAAGGGAACAGTGACTGGATTTCCCTGTGATTACTGGCTACATTTGGAGCCAGGCAGCCATTAGCAACTACACAAATATCTACATACAAGTATTTGTTTATTATGGATGACAAGACCAATTTGGGTTTCCCACAGTTAGAAGAGCATTTAAGACAGAAGACCAGCCTAGGACATGTTTAAAATGAGTTAGTTGAGTTCTCCTTTAAGGACATTAAAAACAACCAAAACTTAAAAGAAGGTGTATTTCAGACTTGCACTTGAGTCTTGTACAACAGGAACTGAAAAGAGTGTCTAACCTTTAAAATAGCATAAATTACCATAGCATTTAAAATAATTAGCTTTTCAAAGTATCCATCTACAGTAGTAGCTGTGCTAGGGTTCATTTACTTACAGATAAAAATATATGATTAAAGACGTAATAGAAAGAATTGATTTCCGCTAGAATTGACCATGTACAGCATAACATCACACCGCTGAATCTTTTGGAGTAGGGTTGCAATAGAGCCCTGTTACAGGTTGACAGGAATGCTGTAAGGCACGTGTAAAATGCTGTAAAGCATGAACAATTTTTGGCATCCATGGAATTTTAAAGCTTTTTAAAACATTAAAAACCTGAAAATGAAATTCAACTAAAGGAATTTGGACTGAATCTGAACATTTAACAAAAAAAAAAAATCTTTTTGGCTCTAAAAAAAAAAAATGTGTAAGGGGGAGGATGAGTGAGGAGTTATTTTGTAACTGTGATTTTTAGAGTCACTCCATAGGTTTCAGACAGGACTCATTTCTATCCAGGTTGCTTTCAAGGGCATTCACTCTCTCAGAATTAATCTTCCCATCTGGCTACTATGATACATTCTACAGTTCTGCTCTGTGAAGTTGCTTCTTAGAAATCAGTTGTTTATTCAACACATTTTCTTGCAGAGACAGCTGTTTGTCTTAAAGATACTACTTAGAAGAAAATGTGTCAAACAGCTAATGGAGAAAGCAGGTTTATTTCTTTTTCAGGATAGTCTCACGGGCAGGGTTAACTGAGGCAGGCAACTATAGGACCACTTTCTTCTCTTAGTTTATTTAAGAACACTAATCTGAAGAGAGACTTTAAATCCTATTGAATGCAGTTGGCTTAAACATGTGCAGCAGCTGCGTTACCAAAGAGAAAAAAACCCCTAGCTTTATTTCCCGTTGTTTGCTGTGTTGCAGATGTAATTAAAATAGTTTATGTAAAGAGAAAGCCTGGCAAATTGGAAATGTTTGGCTCTCACAGAGACTGAAAATTTTGTCCCTGTTTTGTGAGTTGGATTTCTTGGAGTCACCTCTGAAAAAGGAAACTCAGCTCCTCCTCACTTGATTATTATGCAAATACAGTAAGATTTACCTAAAAGTGTTGGAAATCAATATCAAGTGTTGGTTCGAATATAGAATCAACAACAGTTAAGGAGGCATGATCTGATACTAAGTTTGGTTGAGTTTCACAGAATATTCTGAGTTAGAAGGGGCCCACGAAGATCATTGAGTCCAACTCTTAAGTGAATGGCCCATAAGAGGATCAAACCCACGATCTTGGTGTTATCAGCACCATGCTCTAACCAACTGAGCTCATCTTCACATATAAGTGAAACCTTTAGAATCCTGCAACAAAGCACAGGGTTCAACTAAGGTTTTTTTTTCTTTTTCCTCTCCAGTGGAAATTTCAGATTCTGTTCCATCAACCCCACTGACAAAAGAGGTGGCCAAGAGGTTCTCTACGCCTGATGCTAACCCTGTGTCAACAGAACCAGCCTGGCTTGCGTTAGCCAAGAGGAAAGCAAAAGCCTGGAGTGATTGTCCACAGATCATAAAGTAAACTGTAAAACTACATCTCTATTGCTATTAATTGCTTTCTTTTATTTATTCTGCATTTTACACATGACAAAATTGAAAATGCATGTATGGAAGGACTGAAAATTGAACTGATTACCATTTTGCTCTAGCTCACTGTTAAGCCTACTCAAGTCATATATTCCATTGCTTTGACAAATAGCTAAATGAGGTCATGGCAAAAATTTCACAGCCAGACTCTCAAAAACTTAAGAATGCTCAGATACTGGATGTAAATTTTAGTGAGTATCATAATAAGGGCCAGAACTTCAGTTCAGATGCTTCTTAAATTCTGTGGGTACTCGGTTCTGGAATTTTAGATCTCTATACTTTAATCGAGATCTCAGAATTTTTTTTCAGCAGTCTGTTGTTAAAATTAAGGCAAGATGCATGTTCCCTTCTCTTATTCATAATTTTTAAAAAAATGTTAAACTGTATGAACTGTCAGTTCTGCCTGCTATTTGAAAGCTTTTTCCCTAATGAAGAACTTCGGGATATACCGTTCCACATGCAAATAATAAGCAGAAAGATGGTACCATCCAAATGCTGAGGTAATTTCTTCCATTGTAGTATTAATATACTACATCTATATTCCCTCATTCCTAGGAAAAAAACAATTAATCCTACTTTAAAAACCCCACAGTTATTTGAGCAAATATCATTAAGTTTTCAAAAAGAAGCCAAGAAGTCAGTGTTTCTTCTAGTCATTTAAATGCATCACTGTTTGTGCTTGGCCATATTTAAGATGCATAGAGACAGTGATTGCAGATTACAACTTTAAATCAATTGAATGACTGGAATTAAACTGTTCTACACTGCAAATGTAGCTATGGAATTTGTCTCAGTAAGTTCCCACAGGAGTAAGACTGGCAGAACTGAAGTTAACTGAGAATGGAAAGCTAAGTCAGTGAGAGTCTCAGGAGTTTTAACTCGGCATTCTTCCCGATTTTACTCCCAGTTTTACATGCAACTTCAGGTAGTTCAGATAACTTCCTGTACTTTGACCAATACAGCCAGATCACTTCAGAAAAGGTTACTTACCCCATCTCAGGTATCTGCTGTGGCAATTGAAAACTGTATTACTTCACCTAACTAAAATAAAAATGTTCACTCCCTCTCTCTTACAAAAAAGGATAAAGTCCAAGATGTAATAAAAATGTCGCTATCCTCAACATCCCATAGAAATAGCTAGGTCTGCATTTTTGAAAGTCATGCTATTAAATAGTTCACTTGGGTTTGTTTTACAAGGAAGACTTTAAAAAATCTGTATGTCTCATAACCATAAGGCTTAAAAGAACCTTTAAGCCTACAACATCATAAAAGGAGACATTTTCATAAAATGAAGACATATCATTATAGAATGATGCCACATATGCTTCATGGAAGTGTTTTAGCCAAACTGCTGTATGCAGCATAAGGAGTAGCACTTTATGCAGAAAACAGAATGAAACCTGCTGTATCCTCCTGTTCTCAGAATCAAACAGCAAGTCATTGTCGAGTACAGCCTTTCCCACCAAACAGTGGCTCCCTATCATGGTTACAATAGCACAAACACAGTGGATGTGTTAGATTGAGTAGATATGCAGCAGCAAGATGGGCTTTCTTGGTCAAAAGCCATCAGTTTTGCTCAGTTTCATATTTAAAACAGAATCTCTAAAGTAACTTTTTACTGTTAATATAAGTAATTAATATGTTTTAAACAGAAACAGGGCAATGCTGCTCTCAAATGCTTAGGGGAAAAAAAAACTTAATGTCTTCAATATCTGAAGAAAGAATTGGCCCCTTAATTCTTCTTGCTCTGCTAGCACCAGGAATTAGTGCATCTTAAGTTAAATTTAAGGGTTTTTTCCAAGTTTGTTTGCCTGCAGTACCTATTTGTAATTTAAACTGCCTGAAACCCATCTTTACAATTATTTCTTGGGAGGGGGAGCCAGGTAGACATACAGAGAAGGTGAAGTAAATCAGGATTAAAAATACTGGTACTCTGAAAAGCATAGCAAAGTTAGGTGCTATTGTGCATGACATAAGGATGCAATTTTCCAATACAATCCATTTACAGCACATAGAATAAGTTTTCATTAAGGATGGTCTTAAGCTGAAGCTTCAAACCAGAGGGTTTTTTCAACCATAAAGGTATCTAGTGTAACAATGGAAACTGTTACGTGCAGTACTCGATGGAAACATTTCTAAAGTGTACACGTGCAACAGTGACATTTCATGTTAAATTAACAAAAATTTGCACTAAATACCAACGAAGTGAAGTGTTACTTTGCTTTAGCTTTGTTGCAACCATTTCTGATAAAGTATTGGAAATCTGTAAAAATAAACCCAGAACATTACTACCCAGCTTAAAACAGCAAAAATATTTTAAGAACTGAACAAGCCACTATGTAGTATATTGTCTCAAATTTTTGTAACTTATACAAACACAAAATACCATTTCTTCTGACAAGGTTATATATGATTAACCTCTATGTTCATATAGTAATGTATAAAAACTATAAGATGTACAATTGTGGGGTATTTGTTGTGTACTTTTTTAATTTTTCAAATGTTTTAAAGTGCAATTGTTTATTATACTAATGTCATTTTAATTCTTATTAAACTATAACCCAGTCAAAATTATCTAATCGATACATGTACTGTGTGTCTCCTTTTGCAAATCATGTAGTTCAGATTTGCTTTACAAATAGAACTTTTTACGGAGCTACATGTGTCTTGCTTATGCATTTCTGCTAATAATAAAATGGAGGAACCAAATGTGATAAAGCAATATAGGATTCAAAGTAGATGGCTCATCAGAGAGAATAAGATAATAGTTCCTATTATACTTCTTTTAGAAGACTCATAATCAGAAATGCTTTCAGGGAAGCATACTTTAGTCACTGTAAATACTTTTGATTTGCATTAGTAAGGCCACTGGTACTTGCTTTTAAGATGTTAAAGACAACCAAACCCAATTTACACAACCTTTTATTAATAGTTCTTGGAAAGACAATGTAGACAGCATTATTTGACACTGGTTGATTTGAGCAGTGCACACTTCATCTTAGAACTCATACTGTACCTGTCACTGGAATTTAATAAATATATACAGTATATTCTCCACTTTAGAATACAAGAAGTAACTTCTACTGACTTCGATGGAGTCTGAGTATATGCTAGAATGAACTGAAGTCATGGACGGCCTAGGTCCTTTACAAAAGAAGAACTATTCAGTTTGTACAAACTAAAGTAAACAGGTCGCTCCTACCAGGTATATGCAGTGCAGGCTACGTCTTCAGAAATAAAGTTAAAAGTTAGATTCAAAAAATGACTTGGGTTACCTTGCCTTGGCACAGAAACCTTGCTAGACTAGACAAACACTAGCCTGATAAATGGAAGAGCCAGGCACAGGCTAGGCTGGACTCAGAAAAAGCAATATATTCCTCCCTCAGAGACAAACATTCTATTTCAAGCTGCGGGGTATGGCATCTTACTACAGATTCTCCCTTCTCTGGGAAGGTGCTGAGCAGCCATCCTCCTTCCATCAGTACAGCCAACCCTGGACACTGTCTGATGCAAAATGCTACCTGATAAGCCTGCAAGGAGCAGCTCTTGCCTGCAGAAAAATAGGCAGAGAGGTAGAGGGCACATGTGAGTTCTTAGTTTACAAATGTAAACAATAAAAATAAAGCAGCCTAACAACTTAGCTGTTATTTTTTTCCTGTTATATACAGATCTAGGCAATAAACATAATCATTTCTACAGCCAACAACAAGCTTTGTTCCCCATACTACAGGGGAAGAGAAAACCTCTCCTGGAAGCTTATCTACTCCTTCTGCTGTTCCACTCTTGGCATTCAGGATCCACACTTTGCCATCTGTAGATACTGCTGCCAAAAGAATTTTGTTACTTAAGTCATCACTTTGGAAAATGAACGGTGTTCCATACACACTTGAAGTGGCTTCAAATTTCCACAGTAAATTACCCTCCATGTTACAGCAGTAGATAAAGCAATCATGGGAGCCAAAAAATATTTCTTGCTTAGTTAAACTTGAGAGGCATGGAGATGAAAACACTGGCCCATTAGTGGAAAACTGCCAAACCTACAGAAAGAACATAACCACACATTATCAAAGGTTTTTCATATAATTTTTTAATAGATTACTTGTAATCTAGGAGAGCATTTTATTTCAAAGATGTACTAGAATTCAGTGAGGGCTAGTAAATCTTTGTCAAATCACAAGTCAAGTTTTACACACAGAGTAAGCAATAGAAGTCTCATAAAATAGATGTGGAAGAGGGAAAAGTTACTATCTTATGTGAAGCCTACATAAAGATGGCCACTTTGGGAAAAGGATGTTCTTGGGCTGTTGTACCATAATTAGTAATGAACTTAAAGAATCCTGTTAATATGCCATTCTTTGCCAGAAAGGCAGATATTCTTTTTGTAATATAGATTTCCTTTGCTCATGCTAATGGTGTGCAGATCCCTCCCCAAGAGAGTATTAGTTCTGTAACACCGCTGCAAGCAGACAGAGAGCAGGGCATAAGCTAACATATATTTTATAATCAGAAAAGGTTCAGGAATTGCCATGTATACTGCATGTCAGGCCAACAAACAGAAATGGTGTCAGTTGTCTTAACACGAGATACAAACAAGATTAATCTCTGAGGAACTAAAAAAATACTCCCATTTAATTCAATGTGAAGGCTGACACATATTTTGCCAGAATTATGATTTGGCAATTTTTTGATAAATGCATAAAACATTCTAAGAAACCTTTGCTTCTGAATAATCAACCATCTTGCAGAAGAGATGGCTTAAACATGCTTGAAAAATCTCGAATGAAACCATTTCATTTGCTGGCACTACACTTCACAATTTACTCTGGGTATAAGTTCTGGACTAAAAATTCTCTTACCGCATCAGGCAACTTGATAGTTTGTGGTTTTGCCACGAACTGCATAGATTATCTTAGGCGAACTTTTTTCTGCTTTCTCCCCTCTCTAACAATATACACTTCTATTTGTTTCACAAAAAGGTATATGTCAACCATTAAACCTCAGAAAACAGTATTAATAAAGCATCTTATTCAGGGTTTTGTATGGACATAAAAAAACAACACGATTTTTACCTTTTCTCCAGAATGAGTGTAACAATATAAGTTTCCATCCACACACCCAACACAGACGTAGTTCTCATTGCAGTGAGGAGAGGAGAAGAGTGGTTTTCCCAGGAAGCTTTTCCAAAGCTTGCTCCCCGTCACCTGTAAGTGGCAGCATTGAATATCTGATGCTTAACACAACTGTAAGAAGCAGCACAAAACAACCCTTCCGTCACGGCCATTATGAAGTGTGGGGAAAAAAATCCAAAAAATTCAAACTAAAACAACAAACCTCCAAACAAACCGACAAAACAAACAAACAAAAAAATCAAAGAGAAGCAGGCTTCTCCCATCCAGAATGCATACTAGAAGCAAAACCACTCTTCAAATCTTACTCTAACAAAATGTTTAGTGCTTTACATAGGATACTCAATACCCATTTTTGCCCTTTTCTTCCTCCCCCTAGGCAAAGTAATGATGATAACAGTGTAGTAGTAGTAGTTCTAATGAATGCCAAATTCAGTTTTTTTACTCCATTCCCAGTTCCTCAGTATGTGTGACATGGACCAGTGAAGCAGAGGATATCTAATGAAGTCATATTGATACTGTAGGAAATTCTGCAACTCACAGTCTGATTGTCACAATATGCTCCTAACGTATCCTGCAAATTCCTCAGGAATTATGATTATTTATAAAAATCGGAATGTACAGGCTCATTTGTAGCTGGGTTTCTCAACTACATGTTACTCTGGATTACAGTATAAAAAAATCCCATTTTTTTCTTAAGCACAGTCCACTAGGGATCCAAAACCACACTCTGGTTTTCTAATATAACACTGATTATTACTGAGGACATTTGTAGTGGGTGGGAGGTAAAGGTGCTTAGTGGGTTGTGTGATACAAAAATGCTAACAGCTGCTTTAAGTCATTGTTTCTTTTATCAGGCAGGACCAGCTGTAAGCAAACAATGCCTCAGAAAACCATGAAATTGCTCCACATCTTTTAAGAATACCATTTTCCCAGTGCAAAGAATATAACTGCAGTCTGAGATTAAGGGGACAGCTCTTTAAATGATGATGGCAGGCAGACAGTAAAACGAATGAAGGGGCTTCTTTCTGGATTCTATTCTGATTTCTGCGTATGTTTTTTCCAATCCTTCTGTCAAAGGGAGGGCGTGGGGGAACTAAATCTACAGACATGCTCTCACTCACTAGTCAACCTGATAAAGTAGTATATGGGAATGAGAAGACACTGACTGCAATTTTGGTCTACAGTCAGCATGTGATTTCAAGCAAGTCATTTCAGTTCTCTTTATCACCAGATAGCTTTCTGAAGCATGGGAATTATTATGGTAACCTTGTGTATAAGGCTCCCAAGCGAAAAATATTTTATGGTAACATATGGTCATCTTTCATCAGAAAAGAAATTTTAACTTCAGATATACATTTTAGTTTCATTTGAATTTGAGACTGGGCTCAAAGACAAGTAAACAAAGGTACATACTGGATTAACAGCCAATAGCAGTCCTCCTAAAGTAGCAACATAGAGATGATGTGGAAAAGAACTTAGACAAGGAGATGAAAACACAGCCCCACCTTCGCAGTGTGACTTCCATACACATGCCTTTTTCTGTAAGCACAAGAAAACACATTAATAAACAATTTTCAATTGGAGCTAGAGCTCATCATGTTTACAAAGACTTTTGCATGTCAAACCTTATGAAACACTGTGTTTAACTCAGCAGACACTAGTTAAGAAGTGAAGATATAACCTATGTGCTATGAGAGCAACACATATGTTGGCTACTTTCTCTTCCAGTAAATAAAAGAAATTCGGCTAATGAAAAGGCAGTATCTGCCCCTTTTATTTTCCATCTCCCTTTATTTACCCATTTAGAATGTAAGATTCTTTCTCCAGTCATAAAGCCATAGATAGTTCTATTTCTAGCTAGGCACCCTATTCTGAAATACCCATGAAGAATTTAATAACTAAGAAACTTAAGATTTGGTTTCAACCAGGATCAGTAACACAAGAACCGCAGTTGAGAACACCACTAAAACTATCTGCTGCCACATAATCCTAATCCCACTTCAAGCAGGCCTATTTCAGAAGTGTGATTGTGGACTCCTAAGAATACTAACACCAGTGGAGCTTCCTCTGGTGTACTACAAATAGGGTTTAAGTTGGATATTTATTCTTCTACAGTCAGTGTTCTTACATAAATATCCAAAGCATACACATGTTGGTCATGTGATCCGATGTAGACTAGTCCACTAGAAGGGTCTACAACTCCAGAGCTTTTCACAGTGTCTTCTGTGACAAAAGTCCACTGTATTTCTCCATCACTGCTTCGAAGCACATATACTAAGCCATCATAACAACCTATGTGAAATAAAACATGACAGAGGAAAAAAGAATTATTATTTGCATTTATGGTGTGATATATGCTGCTAGCTGCATCACTGCTGGAAAGAAATAAGATTATTCATGATGTAGGGCATCAAAACATTTTCCAAAGCTTCTCCTGTTCTTTTAGCTCA